CGACTCAGAAGAAACAAAAGAATGTGGCCATTCATCCACCGATCACTGACAGCTATTGCTGTTTTCCAGGTTACCTTGTCCCTTGCACTCCTCCATGGGAGACCACCTACTCAAAAAGAGATCATCCAGAAAACCAACAGGCATGTCAACACTGTCTACTTCACGAATTGGTCTGCAGATTGCCTTATAGCTTTCTGGACTCTCTACTGACATGTTTCAGGGGCATATACGGAAGGAACTTTCAACCTCAAGATCTCGAGGCTTCCCAGATCACACACGTACTCTATGCTTTCTTGAACCTTAAGCCGGATGGAACAGTGTACGTTTGGAGCGTTTACGTACAAACATGCGCTGACTATAGCTACAGTTATACTGGGGATAGCTATGCAGACCTCGAAAAGCATTATCAAGGAGATGGTGAGTTAGCGTCCCTTAGTCCACTCCCATATCTAAACAAGAACAAGGCTGGAATGACAAAGGAGATAACGTGTATGGATGTGTGAAGCAGCTCTTCATCATGAAGAAAGTGCATCGTCATCTGAAAGTTATTCTGTCCATTGGAGGATGGACTTGGTCAGACAACTTTCCATCTGCCGCTGGCACGCCTGAAAACCGTGTTAGGTTTTCCAAGTCCGCTGTCACTTTAATGAAAGATTGGGGATTTGATGGTATCGATATAGACTGGGAGTATCCGGATAACGATGACGAAGCCACCAACTTTGACTTCTCCAGGCTGTTCGAGATGAACTTGACATATATGCTAGTCAAAATGCTCCCGGTCATCGTTTCCTACTCTCGATCGCCGCACCCGCTGGTTCCGACAAGTACAATAAGCTGCATCTAGCCAACATTAGCAGCGTTGTCGACCGAATGAATCCCATGGCTTACGACTATTCTGGAAGCTGGGACAGTACCAGTGGTCACAATGCGAACTTGTTTCCCTACAAATCCAGTGCGAGCCCATTCAATACAGACGATACCATCAAGGACTATATCGAGGCCGGTGTCCCACCGGAGAAGGTTGTAGTTGGCATGCCAGTCTACGGCCGCTCATTTGAAGGCAATCTCGGTATCGGCAAATCCTTCAGTGATGTCGGACAAGGCTCTTGGGAGAGGGGTGTTTGGGACTACAAGGCATTGTCCAAGCCTGGTGCCGAGATAAAGTACGACCAAGATGCTCAGGCCTACTATAGCTATGATGCTAGCATGCGTGAGTTGATATCCTATGACACGCCGGACGCAGTCCGGAGGAAGGCGGAATACATATTGGAGCATGGTCTCGGGGGAAGTATGTTCTGGGAGGCTTCTGGGGATAAGAAAGGGAACGAATCGCTCATTAGTACAAGCTACAACTTCTTGAAGGTGTTGGATGCATCCGAGAACTGGCTCAACTTCCCGGATTCGCGGTATACAAATATTGCTTCTAGGATGATTGACGAGTAGACAGCCTGTCAGGATTCTCAAGAGTTATCTATTATGTGTAACTTTGCTTCCTGTATTATTATTGAAGTAATGGTGCTGGACTGTATTAGTAGATTGTAGGCACCACAGTCGCTTCAGCCAACTTGAGCCGAAAGGCTTTTTCACATCATCTCTTCTCCTACAGGACATATGCTTTGCTAACTCTGAACCGTTACATTGTGTTGAACTTGACTTGCACTGACAGAAGAAATGTGCAGTTTCGGCATTGGTAATATTGGTTGCCTCCCTCCTACCTTAGCACTAAGGCAATAACGTACCTACTAGGTAGGTGAACAGATCATTGCCTCTGTACTTGCCACGGGCAAGCTTTGAAGAAAACGGAAATAAATATGAACAAGCAAGTGCTGTGCTGTGCTGTGCTGTGCTGCCTTTTTGTCCTCCACGTGCATCGCTAGTTGGCATAACTAACTCCTTCCCTCTGCAACTACTCCCTTTTCACTATTCCTTTACCTGTTCACCCTACCTAGGTATCCTCTCTTCCCTACAAAATTTCTTTCGACAAACATCGATACTTTCCAACCATCTGACTTAGTGGGCAGAACAGCTTACTGTCAAGTAAGGGACTGTCTATTGTAGCAGGCAGTATTGCTCAGGTCATAGCTAGCACTTCATTCGTTTCTCTATGCTCTATCTAGACATCCCGGAGATCTACAACTCCCTGCTATATCGATATCCAGAGGGATGTTTCAGATGCCGCCTCGCCGTCCTCGATCTGCTCGACGGAAGTGCGACGCAGTTTTGCAGTCATCAAGTCCATCGGATTCTGGCTATAGTTCAGCAGAGGAGGTTTTCGAATCCTCGCCCACTATCCGAAAAAGATGTTTTCCTTCGTTCGATGGCTCTTGTACGGATGGCAATATCCCGCTGAAGCTGCTTGAAAATGAAGCGCAGGAAACTCTCGCCGTCCAACAAAAAGGAATCTCAACCGTGGTCCCCAGAACACCTGAAAGACGCCGCTCTAGGCAGAAGCCAACGATTGTTTCACCGTTCATCTGTCCTCAGAGCCCCAAGCGCTTGCCTTTGCAAGATAGAAGAATGGATCTCAACAGGAAACTGGACAGATATGTCCCAAAGCGTGACTTTGTCTCTCCGTCATCTGAAAGATACCGGACGACCAAGCAAAGTCAGGACCTGACTAGGGAGGAGCGTCTAAAGCGCAACAAGTGTGCTTCTGCCGACCCTTTTGTTCTCAAACGTCGTGTTTTGGACCCCGACCCACGATTTCCTTTTCGAGTTGACGACAACAGTCAAGACAGAGGTTCGATTATCGATGCATCATGGTTTCAGTGCTAACATATGTCCCATCCTTAGGCGTAGCTCTGGGTCAACTCCCACAGAACCGAGGGGGCGAGCGTCAGGCAAGTATGGGTGCCATGTGGTCAGTTGGAGGCATCGCGCCCAGCACAGTTGCGGTAGATGACGGGCAGGGGCATCTCGTCCGACGCGGAACGAATGCCAGGGTGTTTTCCACTCCTTTTCAAGAAGGCATTATCAGTACGTCGGTCGAAAAGGAGAAGCATGAAGGTCGCATTGCTTCAGCGCTCAAACTTGATCAGGTTCGAAAGGTCCTCGAGTTCGCACAAAGCCAGCAAATACCTCCAAGTCCAGGACATCACACTTGTCGTACAGAATTTAGTCAGACTCATTGGAATGGCCATCAGTGGGCCAACAAAGAAGAGTGGTCCGGTATGTTCAAGATGCTTGACTCTGCGTAGCCCATGACTGATGGAAGACAGCCCCCGTTAGACCAGCAAGACAACGTCTTCTCCCAGCTGCTCCGTTCAGGTAAGTCAAATGACAAACCAATAAAGCAGTGACCTGATGTATCATAGAGTTCTCGATGCACCGAACCTCAAGGATGACTTTTACTGCTCACCATTAGCATATTCAGCAACAACGCATACCCTCGTCGTTTGCCTGGGAAATCTACTTTATGCTTGGTCCGAGTTTTGGGGCGTCCAGTTGCTCCACGGCACTCATCCCGACACCTAGTTGACGTCGGTCGCCTTCTCGTCAACACAAGGAGGTAAAGCTGTGCTTGGGATCGGACACTCAGACGGCCGTGTCCTGTTTCAATCTGTCTTTGACACACTGCCACGATTCCAAGTTCGTCAGGCATTCCCTGTTTCCTGTGTGAGCTGGCGCCCTGTCTGCACGCTACGACCTTCCAAGAATCCTCTCACTCCAGGAGTCCAGGTTCAGACCGAGGACTTGGTGGTGGGTGATGAGATGGGTAATATCTATTACTACGTGGTAGAGTGGCCGCTAGGTTGGGAAGTCACACGGGATACATGGCCTGGCGCAGTATCATTGATAGCCAGGATCAGCAATATTCACTGTCAGCAAGTATGCGGTCTTGCATGGTCATATGATGGTCGTCTGTTCGCCTCAGGGGGTAACGACAATCTCTGCTGTCTTTTTGATGCTAATCAAGTTGTTGGGCGACGATCCGAGCCTGCTATACCAGGAAATGGATATCGAGCACGCATCGATGCTAGGAGCGCCTACGGCGGTATTGAACTGAGAGTTACACAGCTGATGAGTCACTCCCAGAACGACAGTGAGCCCACGGGTGCTTTCACGGCACAGCTGCGATCAGTACCAAATGCCACTGATGCTGTCCGCTGTCTCGGTCCCGGAATTGCGAAGCACCACTGGAACCACGACGCAGCCGTCAAGGCCATCGCTTTCTGTCCCTGGAGACGTGAGTTGGTCGCAACGGGAGGTGGCTCCAATGACAAGTGCATCCACTTCTTCCACACACCATCTGGGGCAGCTTTAGCAACAATTTCAGTATCGGCTCAGGTCACCTCGCTCATTTGGAACACGACTCGCCGAGAGATTGCGGCCACGTTCGGTTACTCTTCACCAGAGCACCCTTATCGTGTCAGTGTTTTCAGTTGGCCAGAATGCAAACAAGTTGCAGCGATCCCCTGGGAGGATGACTTGCGAGCTCTTTATGCCATTGCTTATCCTCGAGGATCGATTTCTAACAATCCAAGTGCCGTGGGAGGAGGCCAAGAAGGGTGCATTGTTGTTGCGTCGAGCGATAAGAGCATCAAATTCCATGAAGTGTGGTCGAGGGAAAAGGGCGTAACGGTAGGCGCCACCGGCATTCTGGCTGGCAGTGATATTCTTGAGGGGCTGGAAGGCATCGACAAAGAAGGAGATATTATTCGTTGAAGTGCCCCTGTTCGACTTGAAATGTACCGAGGAACGAAACGTCTAGGCTGCAAGTTATGTTCAGGATTGAAGGGTTTGAGAAAATGACAAAATGATATGATGAGAATCCTAACATGACTGCTTTTCCTATCAAGTGTCTTTGTGAATGTACAGATACACAGGAGAAGTTGTCCGTCTCTTTTCTTTTGTGAAGGCGTGAAAGAACAGGATGAAATGTTGATTGACATTTGTAGGAGACCTTGAGGAACGCCCAATAACAAAGACTCCGAGAACTCCAACTAATAAATACGCTACGCAGTCTGTCAAGTTCCGAGACAGAGAACAAAACAATTCAATCATTTCAGGATGGCGATAAGGAGCACAAGAATAATGATGAGAACCAAGATGGTTGTCATTTGCTTATTTTCGCTTGCTCCGCGGGCAACCTTTCCAAGCATTCTGCTTGCGCGGTCCAGCCGGCTTTGATGGCGGTCGGTAACAGCCTCAACCTCATCAAGCATAGCAACGTGGCTATCAAGCTCGTCGCCGATTTGCATGCTAAGTTCGCGCTGACGTCCAATAGACTCACCCAGGCGATCAAGCTGCTCATCTTGTTGTTCGAGAATCTGAGCGTGATACTGGTGAAGCTGCTGGTTGTTCATTCCCTGGGCCTCATCCTGGTACCCTGCGCTGTCCTCGGGATCATCACGATAGCGTCCAAAAAGCTCCGTGGACGGGGAAGGGGGGGTATCGCTAAATCGAACTGTCTTCGGCTTCCGCGAGGTCGGCGATGTAGAAGCTGCATGCTCAAAGTCGTCGGCGAGCTCCTCCGAGTTAGGATGGGTGAGGGTTTCGGTTGCTGAGGAGGAGGGGTGGCCCTGGAATTGGGTCGTGAGGTCATCGAGTTGTTTTTGGAGCGAAGAGATAGAATCCGTGAGGTTTGATGCGGCACTACGAGTGTCAGTTAACAACAACAGCATGTAAGTAAGTTGGTCAGACACACGTTGCATCGCCAGCTTCGGTTAGCCGTTGCTCTTCTTCGCGGAGGCTGATCAAACCATCGCGGAACTGGTCAAAAGAGCGTGAGATGTGGCCATCCTGGGAGTCGCCTTCAAGATTGAGGTTCTTTGCCCGCTGTCGCTCAAGGAGCGAGAGCTTTATATGGTCTGCGAGAAGAAAGAGTTGATTTGCGCTCGACATGGTTTGCGATATGTTGGATCAAGATGCCGAAGTGGTTGGTAAATTGATAGGTTGGTAAGAGCAATCTGCCTGCTCAGTGATACCAAACAAGAACGAATCAACAGGCAGCTTGAGCTGGTATTGATACAATCAGAGATAGTTAATGAGTCTTTGCCGCGGCCTTGACGTTGCGACGATGAAGAGGATATGGAATTAAGGTACCTTATCCCAACTCTAGTAGCCACTACTACTATTCTAGACTAGTAGGTTGGTACTAAGGTACCTAACGAAACCCGGGGGCGTACTTGAGCCCCATCTGGCTGGGTGCCAGCCCGGACAGTCCATAGGTGCGAGGTACCTAAAACAGGCGCCATAGCTGTTGTTCTACAATAAAAGGTATCCATCTTACCAAGAGGCCTACCTAGGTAGGTAGGTAGGTAGGTACCTGGTAGCCCTGGACTCCCTACCTCCTGACTGGACCTTGGCCGAAGGTACCTGTCTGGCAACCTGGAAGAGGTTGGGAACGGGCATGCTTCCTCCATTCTCCTGAGGCAACTTTTTAGGGAGGTAAAAATCTACTAATCCTAATAAGAATGAAACACGAACAGCGGAAGCTGTTTTGACTTAATATCTTTCTAACCTACCACAATCTCATTGAGGTCCTTCCGTGAAGTGAGCAACACCTATTACCTTATGTACCTAAAAAGTAGGCTGTCTGTGATAGGTACTAAGGTAGCCCGGTTAAGGACGGGACCTACACACCGCGGTATTACAGTACAGATATACCTAGTAAAGAAAAAGAACCCATTAACCCATTGACTGGAAGAATAGAATACAATTGGTTACTATTAGTTGTTAAATTGTTTACACTTCATAACAGCACAAAATGCTGAGGTTGTGTCTCGTTCTAATTATGCACTTTATTATACACTGATAAGTTAGACGTTAGCTCACTCTTGGTTGGTCTAGTAAATAAACAACCAATTGGTTTACCTAGGCCTGCAGAGAGAGGGGTGAGAAAGGAAAGAAAATCCCGTGTTATCCAAGACCACCTCGTATACAAAAATATGTGTTCTATCTACATGATTACTTCCATGTCGATGTGTGTGCATTACAGATGTTTTGTCCATCTAACCACCTGTATCCGCATGGGCATCACAGTCCAGGCCCCATGTAATCAGTGTCGCTAAACCCAAACTTGAATCCATCCAGATCCCTGACTCGGTCATAATTGCTACAACCTTTAACCAAGCATGGATCAAACATGAAGCTAGTGCCGTCGCGTCCGCTTCTGTGAATATACTCGCGAAAACAACGCCAAGGATCAACGCGTGTCATTTGCGGGCGGTTTTCTCCGCTGATGGGTCCTCGAAGTACACGATAATTGTACGGCCACTCTAAACGTCTACAATTGATTTCACACGCTGCGACAGATGAAAGAAACTTTAATAGTGAATGATGTATATTGCAATAAGATGATATCAAGCCATAACTGTCCCAGTCTATGGCATACGCTCTTGGTGGTCTTTCCCGTCAATCCCAAGGCTCCTATCCCAGTCCCATCCCAACCCATAAGCATGGCAAACCGTCAACTCCGAGTACATAGCAAAGAAAAAATAACACGTAGTTAAAAGAGACAAAGATGTCCCCGAGCGAGGCCTTTTAGTCCATTCTCATATCCATATCAGGGATAGCGTTAGCTGGTCGAGGAGACTCAGCAGCAGAGAGAACGTCCATGCCGTCAAAAATAGGTGGGGAGCACTGGAGATTTCGAAGTGCTCCTTCGGCTGTCTGGCTAACAAGTTGTCCTTGTCGTAGGTTTTCGGCAAACAGGAAGAAGCCCTCGTTGGTTTCCACGAAATACGATTGTAGGCCGCTACTCTCGAGAAGAATTCTGGCGTTGGAAACAGGGAAGTGGTTTTCTATGTAGCGAGCCCAACCACGGGCAGCTTGTTGGATGTGATCTTGTTCACTGATTCTTCGCCAGCCAATGCCGAGGTGCATAGTAAAGTTATCGACAATGGGTCCCTCGCTGGCAGGCTTGGAGTCGTTTTTCGGGTGAGAGAATGCAGCTGTGGGAGCGCTCGACACAGTAGGGGATACGCGCTGCAACTTGGGATTTCTGATCAGAGAACGTGCCTCTTTGATCGCGGCTTCCTCAGCGGCCTTCTTCTCTTCAACCCATGTTCCTGATTGGCTGCTCGCATCTGTGACATAGCCAGTGCTCTTCTTAATGAGGGTCATGCCGGGGCCGTAAATCCATTCCTCTTCAGGCTCTTCAGCAGGCAGGGACTTGATGTCAGGCTCAAGGTTGTCGGAAGCCTCGTCCCGGGAACGCTTTCTACCAGCTGCAGCAGGTCGAACAGGCTGAGCGGCTGCAAACTGGCTAGGTATGGGTGCAAATCGTGATGATGTGTGGTGTCCAAAGCTTGCCATACCCATAGACTGGTGGGCGTGTTGGGGAGACATGGTAAGAACGGGAGAGGGAGAGAACTGAGAGCTGAAGTACGACATTGTGCAAAACGTTCTTCTTGAGGGAACTGGGAATTTGTTGAGTGGTTAGTAGTCAGCGATGTCACAAACCATCTATAGCGAGCGTCTTTGATACACGCGGTGGTGAGCTCCGTTGACTTGAGACGGGACGCTTAAGATCAAGGTTGAGCGAGATAGATGAGATAGAGGAACGGAGAGTGTGTGAGAGGAGAGGTAGGTAGTAAGACGCGATGCGGATGGCCAGTAAAAGATAAGGCACGAGTGTGTGGAGGAGGTTGCGACGAGTGAGCAGGTACTAGAGTGATATGATCGTAATGGTAAGGAAGGATCGAGTTTGTTGATGGACGAATGGATGTGAGAAAAGAGAGAGAAGGGAAGGAGCAAGATGAATGGGAGAAGGAGGATTAAAAGCTATAAAACGATGCGAGGGGACGACAGGTAAAAGAACCTGTGAGAGCAACGGGAGAGGAAGAGACGAGAAGAGAAGGGGCGTGAGTATGAGTCCAGTGTGAGTGGCTCTTTACCCCAGGTTAAGGTGCTCTTTAACCACCCACCCATGCAGCCTCACTCCGATCTCCAACAGTTGTGGAAGTTGGCACTGTCATGTTAGTCTCGCGAACGGCGAAATCCGCGAAAAGCTACTTGACAAAGATATGTTCGGCGCCCAAGAGGGTCGTTAACACTAGCAGTGGCTTGTACAGCGTACGGCAAGCTGCAGCTGGGACAGTGCTAAGCATCAAATGCACAGTAGCACGCCATCAGCTTATCGCAAACCTCCCGGCCCTAGATGTGGTTTAGCCCGGGGCTAAGGCAGCTCGCAGTTGCAGCATCAGGTACGTACCCGCCGATGGTCTGTCCCACTCGCAATCCGCGCTTGACCCCTTCTAGATTGCGTAATTGTTAAGGGTCTCTCGATTGTAAGAGGAATAGCGTCTCAGCGGGTCCCGAGCATGTCTCGAACGGCTATCTGGTTGGATGGCCAACGTTTGGACTTTACCCATGTTTGGAAACCAGTTGCCCCGTGCCACTCTGAGCCGAGTTCAGCAAGCCCAGCTCAGCCAAGTTTTTTCACCTGTGATCCGCTGCCGCCATTGACCAATGTGAATACAATGATATGCCAGACCGATCCACACGGCTTCCGCCCAGTCCGAGTCAGTTTAAGTTCCTCCCAGCGTTAATTGGATGCTAGCAGCCTATTCCTCCAGGTCTGATTTGCTCTGGAAGAAACCATTTGAAAAGGTGGAGACTGCTTGCCTTTGTGCCTGAGGTAGCCAGGCACAACCGTACAGTAAAAGTTTGTTGGAATCTTTATTGCCGCGAGGGGGCTGGAAGGACGTAAGTCTAGATTACAAGAAGAAAAAACTTCTTAACACCGATAGCCTCCATGTGGATCTGGAGAAGCAAACCGATTTATCTAAGTAATCATGTAGGTACATACTGAGATGCATGTAAGGTACGTACCTTAACAAACTACCTGCACAATAGAAATTCAACCATCAGGTTGGTTGCCTGCAAGCAGAGAGCTCCTCGATCATGGCACCAGTACCTTTCGAGCCAAAAATCAATTGCTCTTAGCTGCAGGGTGGAATTCTACATGGCTTGGACATAGGCTTATTGAAACTACATGAATCTCGCATACAAGCAGTATTCCCTCGCCGATTGTCAATAAGCTGCCCGGTCATCGTGCGGCAGGCTCCAGTTGCCATGACACTATGCTTTATTCATGCCGAACCCGTGAGACTGATGTTGTCTACCTTGCATCTGCCGATACTCTTGACCTCCTGACATCACAATGCATCTCGGTAAATCACACATCGTCAGCGTTTTCACTGCCTCCATAAAAGTTTTGGAAACCCGAGGTCCTCAATCCCAAACCTACCGGGCTAGTATTGCGCCCAGCTCGCCTTCTTCTTACCGTAATCGGTGCGTATTCTATGTCGGCTTCCGTGCGTCTTCCTCGGGCTGGTGCCGTGTGGGCTCCGTTGAATCGGCTTTGGTGACGAGCCTCGGGCAACCGCCTTGGTGTTTGCGGCTGTTGATTCACGGGTAAAACATCGCTGTACACAGGCAAATTTCTCCGCGGAGGCGTAACGTTAAGTTCTTCGGCGATCATTGAGGCTATTGCATCAAGATTCCTCGAAAAGTTGGTTGGTTCAGGTTCGTGCTCCGGCATGCGTATTGGTATACCGAGCTTTGACTCTCAATTAGCCTGCTGTTCTTTTGTCTGACCGTAGTGACCCAAGTTGTCTTGGTTCTGTTCCAGGCTGTGATGAATACTTGTTGGCGTGGAGAGGGCCAGTTTTGGCGTAATTTCCAACTTACAGCTGTTACAAGTTGCTGACGGTCGGCATCTCCTTCATCCTCATATTGCTCAATGACATCGTTGATCATATTGTCGAGCTGTGTGCGAGGGCGTAACGGCATAGTGTGCGCTTCTCCATCGATGCTGCCATCGGGCGATGATATCACGGGAACTCTCTCTTCTCTTGCCGACATCTCTGGGCTCGACAAACTGCGAGATCCTTGTCCAGAGTCTGGGTCTGTATCTGTCTGTATCGTTGTATTGATGGTAGGTAGGTAGGTGCCCAGCATCGTGGGTTTTAAATGAAACGAGGACTACCTGCCAGTAGGTAGCTCGACACAGCTGAGCGTCTCCTAGTTGGTTCTTTCCAAACTTAGTATACTAACCTCGGGTTTGAACAAACCTGAGTCAGTGCATATGTCATTCGTTGTGGGATGTTTGGAGTAGCAACTTCCTGCATCGGCTTTTATATAGGGTAGGTGTGCTGGTAGATGGCAATCCGGAAATCAGCAACTAAACCTGCCTACCTAAACAAGTACTCATGTAGTGCGTAGCAAGTGAGCAGTATTAAGCAGTGATTTTAGCTGCACTCCTCTACCTTATATTGAGCAATGGATATGGTTCTAGTTGGTGTAGTTGGGCACAAGCTAGAGGCGCAGTCGCTCTAATTCAACCCAAGCAATTTGACGCGAAGTCTGGACACTTTGATGAGAGATAAGTCAACAACCGGGCAGAGAAGTCAAGAACCTTAGTCCTACGTGATCATTGTGTGAAATCGAGTAGGCTAGAAGTAGACATTACCTACCTACCTGACCTAAGTAGGTATGTATGGATGTATTTCTGTGCCAGGCGTTGCAGCTACATAGTACTAGGTACTAATCTACTGTAAATCATGTCTGACACGAACCTGATGTTTTATGTTAGCACCTACCTAACAAGCAAGTGGAGGTATGTTTGAAAAAGTATAGAGCTTCCAGTCATAATAGGTAGCCTTATATAGAGGTACCTACTAGATGTAGTATATATCTAGGTGTATATATATATATATATATA